GGGTTAATTAAAAATTAGTGTATTTATTGTTACGTAAGCAAAATATGAGAAATATTTCCTAACAATTCCGCTTTCTTTATTTTTTTTTGTAGCACGAATGTTAAACTGCTTAATTAACAATTAGTGTACTCCGTTTTTAATCAAACATAAAATAAATTCAGTTTGATCAAGTAGATACGTAGATGTAAATAGCATATTCTAAAAATATTTTCAGGTATAATTTGCGACGTTTTTGATAATGAGATTTCCAACACCAACCAAAAACCATACGGACTGTGAAAGGCTAACGAATATTTTTTTGATAGTTGTAGCGTTCTTTACGGAATAATTTTTGGTGAAACTTTCAGATATGGCAAAATATACACATCTACATCTAGTTTTTTATCTATAACTTTCGTTAATTTGAGTACATAATTTTTCAACCTACTAAGAAAATGAGACTCCCCTTTTACGTCTTTGATGCTTGTAGTGAATCTGAGTTCCTTCAAGAGTCATCGCTTTTGGCGGAACCTGCATTTATAGTCTTCCACTTTTGTGATAACTTTTGGCGGGACATGCATTTATAGTCTCCCACTTTTGTGATAACTTTTGGCAGGACATGCATTTATAGTCTTCCACTTTTGTGATAACTTTTGGTGGGATATGCATTTATAGTCTCCCACTTTTGTGATAACTTTTGGCAGGACATGCATTTATAGTCTTCCACTTTTGTGATAACTTTTGGCGGGACATGCATTTATAGTTTTCCACTTTTGTGATAACTTTTGGCGGGATATGAGCCTAAATGTTTTTAGTTTTCCAGCACACATGATGGATCTTCATGCCTCGACACATAACTGATTAAATTTATTGGTATAGTTATTCATTTAGACACCTTTACTTGCACGTGCGTGCTGGTATTGTCATAACGTTCAGATTAAATACGAGTTTTATGAAAAAATATAGTTTTTATGTGATTAGCAATTAAAATGAAATAAATAATTAATGATTATGGTTAATTTCAAACTCAGCAGAATTCTGATTAGATTAAACATCTTGTTTTACAAGAAAATAAAATGATGCCATGGCATGCTATCTTTCCTAATTACGTTCTTAAAGAAATATGATCATCCTATTTCATTGTAGTCGAACTAGACGTCATATTTCCATTTCAATAAAAGATGCAGAAATCTTATTGAATTTAATATAACATGGGACTTCATCAGGCTATATTTACTAATTACGATCTTAAAGAAATGTGCTCGTTTTAATATGTTATCAATTGTATTACAGTCGAACTAGACGCCATATTTTAATTTTAATTTAATATAATTGAATTTAAGATAAAACGGAGATTCAACATGATATATCTACTAATTACGTAACTTAATTTAAAAGAATGTTGTCAAATATTTTACTATTGTATCGTAGTCGAACTATATGTCAGAATTCTATGTTAATAAAAGATTCAGAATTCAGATTAATTTAATATAATTTAGATTTTTCATGAGATATTTACTAATCGCGTTCTTGAAGAAATATGGTCGTCTAATATATTTTTAATTGTATTGTAGTCGAACTAGACGTCATATTTCCATTTCCGCGCATTTAAAGGAATGTTGTCTAATATGTTATCAATTGTATTGTAAGAGAACATTACTGTATATTTCCATTTTAATAAAAGATTCAGAAGTCTGTAGAATTGAAGATAATTGGGTGCTTTTTTTGATAATTTCCTTTTTTAAAAGGAATATTTTACCATTGCATTGTAGACGAACCGGTTTTCTTATTGTGTGAACAGACCTAGCGAAATGTTTGTATTTCAATCATCGGAAGACATACAATTAATTGTTTTAACCAAATGAATTGTAGTCGAATCAGACGTCAAATTTTCATTGTGAAAACGGATAGAGAAATTGGGCTCTATTAGTTATTACATGACATAATCCCGAGAATGGTGGAAAAACACCAGCATGAAACTGTGGATTAGAAAAGTTTATTGAACGTTCACCCTGGTGGTGAAAATCTACATATATTTCGCACTTAGACTAACTTTAAGTCAGTTATGTTGATTTTACGACAAAAAAAAGTTTTTCTTTTGACGATAGTTTTTATTTTAAATTTGAAAATTAAAATAAAATTTAGTTTTTACTCCGAATATACAAAGATTTTTAAAACATAAATTTAGATTTACTTCAGAAATTCCAAAATAGAAAATTCATACTTCATATTGTCTTCATTATATATAACATATATTTTATCAAATGTTTTTTTGTTTATGCAAATGTTGAGATTTCCCGTTCTGCCTTCCCCTCGACTTCCTCTCGACTAATTCCAGCCAATACCTTACCACCTTTCCTCACTCTGCGGAAACAGAACGTAACGTCAGAAGCCTGGCGCGTGCCGTGAGCAGGAAACCTCGTGAATGACTTGGAAATGTTGTCAAGTGGTACGATAAATTGGTAGACAGAGCCTGTCACGAGATCAACTTCTTGAAATCTACCATGTCGTATCACAGTAACAGTAACTGTGGGGTGAAAATGGAATCCGAGGGTCGTCGCAATCAAAGGGTGTGGTCAGAATCAGTTTCAAAATGTACGTACCAAGGACTGGACAGTAGTACGAAATTAAATTCTAACGTGCAGGTGTCTAATAGAACTATAGCAGACGTGTCTGTTCCAGGCACCTCGAGGCACGGATTTCCTGAACCGGACATGAATTGTTCCGTGTCGGAAATGATGGGAAGCGAGGAAAGGAAGGGAGTAGTTGAGGTTTTAAACCGAGGTTCTGGAGAGTGTACTAACAATTTATTTAACACAACCTCGTCTTGCGGTCCAGTTAGAAAATTCAATTCTACAAGTCGAGCGACACCTTATTCACTCTCCGCTTGCGACTCCGGAAATAAATTACATCACAAAGTCTTCGTACCGGCAGGTGAGTCTTTCAAATTATTTGAAATCTGTTTGTCATTTAATTCCACTATTTAATCTGTTTATATGTATTCGGATTACTTTAAAAGTTTATATTAACATTTACATTAAATATTTTTTGCGAATCAGATCTCTTTATTTGTGACCGTGGCCAGTTATTTTTGTATAAGAGTTTCAATAAATTTCATTACCAGGGTATTGCATATTTTCGATCACTTTAAAATGTTTAGAATAGAATAGAGGTGTATTTGCTTATCAAAGAGTACCGTCAGTTGCAAACAAATAATTCCAGATGAAGTACACCACTGTAAAAACATGTTAACAGGAGCATTCTGTTTTGTTTTCGTAGGTCCAAAAAAAAGTGCTAAAATTTATGAAAACTATAGACTAAAAACTACAGAAATGTTTCCTTTGTGTTATCTGAAAGTTTTCACTAACAAACAAATCCTGCGGTTAATTTTTTAAAGCCAAACTATTTTCAAACGTTAACAAAATCTTTTTCGAATTTGCATGCTATGTTTCTTTGTATTTGTTTTTTTCTGAATTTAATCTTTATTAAATGTTAAATATTTTAGAAGAACTCCTTATAATATCAAAGATATTGACATTCATGTAAATTGATTTTATTATTAACAGCGTTTCTACAAATTACACTGTTGATATTAGATTTACTCGCATTACAACAAACCACACGGACCACAGCGATTACAAAATGGTGTTTAACCATATAAAAATAGGTGATTGCAAAAGTATCAATTAGTGTTTAATAATGGTGGAGTTTGAAAACTTAACTTTCTTGGAATCTGATTTAGTGTATTGATACTTTGGGTTTTGTTTTTGACAATGAACGCTACATAATATACGGACCGTATTATTAAATACATGTTTTAAAGAAATACTTGATATAACTATGTATTTGCGTATTATGTAGAAATTAGTGCTGGCATCGATGTATCGCGATACGACATGCCACGATACGCATATCGTATCACGACGTCATGTATCGATACTTGACGATAACTTTCATTCCATAAAAAAGATTTTTATAAGTTGGTTAATGATATAATAATTTTTTTCACTGAAATCGTTAGAAACTTTTTATAAGACAATGGAAGCTAACCACTTCTATCAACTATAAAACCAAATATCACAGTTATAAAGTTATAAATTAATATCTATAGAAACTTTGAAGATAAAATGTTAATTTCTATCCCATTACCCCATATCGCAATATGAATCGTATCGTGACCCTTGTATCGCGATATGTATCGTATCGTGGCATGATTGACGATACCCAGCACTAGTAGAGATCGTGGTTCAATAATGAATTAGACCCGATAGTTATGGCGGGATGCGTTGATAGTTACGGAAGTATAATTGAAGTGTGTAGAGTTCTAGAAGGACGAGTCAGGAGACGATATGAAGTGTTACATTGCCAGGTGTTTAAACTAATAGTAATAGATGAACACCCAGAGGACTAAAACAATACATCTCAAGTTATAGAACACTTAATGTTTAACAAATACTCTCCAATAGATTTCTATTCTCTGATAAAAATGTTCTGTTTCTGAGTGGCTAATGAAGAATAGTTACACCGTGAAGTTTACATTGTAAAATTTTGATTAGAAATCACGAGAATGAAGATACACAAACTATAGTATGTAATTATCAGAGTTTGTTTGTCATGTCACAAAATTCAAATTCAAATAAATTGTGGATTATCTAAAAAAAAAAAATTATAATTGAAAATATTTTTTTCTGATTTTTTTTTCACTTGAAAACATCGACATTTAAATAAAACTATATTTTTATCTCAGATATTTAAGTAACCGTTTTCATATACACTTTCTACCTTGAAATCTTTCATTTATTCAAATTATGAATTACGATGTTTTCAAATTGGACAAGTTTTAGAAAGAAATATTACGATCATCCAAATGATTGAATCTTACTTTGATCTGGCAGATTTGCTTCTTCCCAGGTTGTTCTAAAATTTCGAATCAGGTTAAAAACGACAATTCAATATTTTGGGGTTTATTTCTAACCCTGACCTCAAGCAAATATCCGTTTTTTTTCTTACCTTATTATTATCATATTATAGCAAGCGGTGAAAAATAAAATTGTACCCATTTTTAACCATTTTAAAAAATTTAATCAATGGTTCCTTGTAATATTTTTGAAAACTATTTCAAATTCTTTTTTCTATGA